GTGTGTGTGTGTGTGTGTGTGTGTGTGTGTGTGTGTGTGTGTGTGTGTGTGTCTAGCGTCAGACGTCTTTCGACCGAACAGTCTCTGTGCTCATCTCTTCCTGCTGCAGGTGAAGAAGGACACTCATCAGCTCAGAGAGTTCGAAGAAGGTTTAGTGAGTCAGTACAAGTTCTTCTTGGAGGACCTGGAGCAGATCATCAAAGGTAGGCTGCACACAGCAACACAACTGATCCCTGACACACACACACACACACACACATGGACTCACAGCTCACTTCCGTCCTCAGACTGGAAGCAGAAGAAGAAGAAGCGCAGTCAGGCCGTGGGTTTCCAGGCGTACCGTGGTCTTGCTGAGGTCGCCATCCGCTGCCTGTGTGAGCTGCTGCTTGCTCTGCCGCACTTCAACTTCCACAACAACATCATCGTCATGGTGGTCCCGCTGATGAATGACCCCACAAAGAAGGTGAGACATCCCTGGGTTTGAGCTGATCCACCTGAGCTGGGATGGGTCAGCTCAGGTACTGTAGGTTTGTTTGGCTAGGTAAATTTATATAGGTTAGCATGTTAGGTCAGCTCATGTATGTTAGCTCAGGTAGGTTAGCTCAAACACACATGTATGTTGAGATGTCTGTACTTTATTTTGTGAAGTGTTCATGGGTGTGATTTGTGTTGCATTCAAGCTCATCTGTATGTTGCAGGTGTCTCTCATGTGCTGTGATGCAATTAGGAAGCTCTTCCATCTGGATAAAGTGGGCGGAGCCTCTCTGGCCACTGTGCGCGTCATCTCCGGCTTCATAAAGAGCCTGAACTACAACGTCAGACCCGAGGTAACGAATCAGAATCACCTGAACCCCTCGTCTGGTGGGGTTTACCTCAGGACTCACGCCTCGTCCTCCTCAGGTGCTGCGGACTCTGCTCAGCCTGAGGATCAAGGAGGTGGAGATGAAGAAGGACTTGGAGTCCACGGCCCCAAAGAAGAAGTTCATGACCAACAAAGAGAGACAGAACTTGTCCAGGATGCAGAGGAAGGTAAACGCTGAGTCAGACAATGTTCTACCGTCGTTAGGTGGAATCTGTGATTAACTGTTTAGATTTATAAAACCAGTTATTTATTTTGATGCATCTCATAGTGAGACACAGCTTGGTCATTAAAATAAAATAAATAAGTTGTTATTTTTGGTTCCTCTCGCATGAAGATGCCACCCACTTACTTACTTACACTTACCCACTTACTTACTTA